TGATTGATGATGATGATGATGATGATTGATGATGATTGATGATGATTAATGATGATTGATGATTGATGATGATTGATGATGATTAATGATGATTGATGATGATTAATGATGATTGATGATGATGATGATTGATGATGATTGATGATGATTGATGATGATTAATGATGATTGATGATGATTGATGATGATTAATGATGATTGATTATGATTGATGATGATTGATGATGATTGATGATGATGATGATTTTGAATTGTCTTTTTTTCTATTTTCCTCTTCCTTCTTTTCATCCCCTTGCTCTGTCCACTTATCCTAATCATTAACAATTTTTTTCGCCACAATACTTTATCATAATGTTGATTTCTGTTTTGTTTTTAATGTTATGAATATCGACGTTCTTATCATTACCATAATTGGCATTATGACTATCATAATGTCAAAATACTAAAAATACTAACAGTAATAAGAAATTGATTTTTTTTCCAGAAATCAAGGAAAGGGTAAATCCTAAGTGACTAAACACATGGAACCATCTACGTATAAACACAACTAAGGAACTAAAGTTATACTGGACAAAAGGCTGACGATGATACTGATAATGATAATATCAACGATAACTATACATGTTTAAACGGTTTTCAATCGTACTCGCACATATACTCTGTAAGTGGATACATAAACATATTTCTTTTTCGTATCTACCTCCCATGCCATGTGTATGTGTGTTGGGTGGGGGTAGGAAACGGAAACTGGGTCCCAGTGCTGGGGATCACCCCTGTCTTGGGCTAACCCACGATTCAACTAACTTTGGACAGTCTTTTTCCCTCCCCCTTTTCGTTTCCGTCCCTTCTGCAATCCTATCTGCTATCCCCTTTCTAAGGTGTGAGAGCCGTGTTGAAAGGATGAAAGGCTGACTTTGTGCCAGTCATGAACGGCCTGGGGGAGCCTCAAGGGGAAGCTGAACGGTGGACTATTTGTCTCTCCAACATACCCTAGGCTAAGCATGGCCAGTAATGAAGACTTTCTACCACTAATACTGACACTGAGGCTTATTCCGCTATCAAATAGCACCACTGATTTCATTTCTTCCGGTTTCCCGAACCCAGGCTCTCCTTTGACTACGACTCTGAACACTGCTACTACTACTACCCCCTCCTCAGTGCCTACTACCACATCAGTCCAGTCTAAATCATACATCCATGTCACTACCCATTTTCCAGGAAACATTCCTCCTCTACCAACATAATTTACTTTATCTCCTCCTCCCCCGCAACTTTCTCCATCGACTACCATCCTCCCTTATTGTCCACTTGACTCACTCAGCACTACCTCTTCCACAAGTCCTCGCCCTTCTACTACCCCCACCTCTACAAACATTTTGAATACTCTGTTTAAGCCAGCCAAATGGGATAACCCCCTTACTCTAACAAAACTCTCCTGTTTCAGCAATGCCTCCAAAAACATGAAGGCAAAATTTAATTCCGTAGCCGCCCCGATCGTTCCCGCCTTTACACAGTTACACCCGAATCCCAAGTTATAGCTATAGCATTATCAACCCTAACTGAATTCACCGGTAAACCCATTCCTGTCCAACCTCATCCCTCCCAACCTCATGTCCACACCACCCCCCTAGAGGCCGTCGTAAATCCCCACTAATGTTCCAAAGATTACATTACGTAGACATGACCTCCCCTTAAGTGTTTACATGCCCGACCATATCAATCTTCCCCCGTCAATGTCAGAATTGTTGGCCATCCTGCCAAACACTGCTCTACCTGCAAATATGAGTATGAAGTGGCAATTCTCAGATTTAAACTTGGCCTCACTTTACGCGAAGCCAGACAGGAAGCACGTCGACGAGGTTTTTCTCTCACTCCTTACTCCAGTAATGTCCTTTGTTCTGCCTCTCCCCTTCCCCCCCACCAAAGAGGTTTTTACATCTCCCCCAATATCTCTTCCTTATCTAACTTCTGCCCCCTCCCTCTCCAAATCAAATTATTTTGCCATTCTAAATTCAGACACCCCAATTCCCTCCACTATTTCAGACACTCCAATCACTACTTCCCCAGTACCTAATCCTCTTCCTCCTCGCACAAAACAAACTAAACGCTCCATCCCATCTCCATCCCCAATTCTCTCCCTGTCCTTCCACCCTTCAAACATCTGTCCCCTCTTCTCCCACTCATAGGAAAACCTTTATATCTCAGATCTCCCCAACCAGCTCCACTATAAAAACTCTCGAAGACATTCAAAGCTATCATGACCCAAGATACCACGCCTACACCTCATCCATCCTCTAATATCTCTGTTCTTACTCCTTCTACACTCAACGTAACAGCCAACACCCATCATGCTACTCATGTTCCCCCTTCACCCCATCTTCCCACTCCCTCCCATCACCCTCCCCCTCTGCCTCAGCTGCATCATCCCCCCTTCCTTCCCCATTTTCCGTTCCGCTTCCCCCTCGATACACGTGTGGCCCTTTGCCACAACAGCCCCTTTCCCTGAATTCTCTCCCTCCCTGGCATTTTTCTGTGATCTAATCGCCCGTAAAACCCGTTATCCCTTGCTTTTCCCTACCTTACCCTACGGACACCCTAGCAAAATTCCACACTTCTTCATTTGGCAATTTTGATCTAATCACCCTTGCTAAGTAGCTCATTTAATCATCAACCAACCCCTCTCTTTACCCATTTCACTATTACTCCTTACTGTAGTGCTGTGTGACCTATGATGTCTAGCACATTTGTTTAGCTTTGTAATCTGTTAACCATGAATCATTTCGCATCTACCTTATAACAAATATTTTATTCTCAGCCATAGGTTGTATCAAGTGATATTCTATTGCAAACTTAGTAGATGATATAACTCCTTATCTGCCTCTACATTACTTGAGAAGATAAAATCAACAATATATGACATAAAAAGGATCCTTAATTATATCTGCAAAAGGCGACATTACGTGAAATAACAATGATGAAAGTTCGTCAATGGAAACTATAAAAGAAGGGATATCACTAGGCTATCATTCTAAATGCCGTTAGTGATTTTATTCCAAATCATCACCCTTCGCCTTTGTCGAAACGTGGATCTTTAGCTTTTTTCCCTAATGGATACCTCAGAAAATCTGAAAAAAAAAGTTTTAAACGGTTTTGCATTATGTATGCAAAAGTTGTCTCCCTAATTGGCTCAGGAACACTTGTATACATGTAGGAGTGATTAGAATTAATCATGTAATTGATTAGCAAAATGCATTAGAAGAGATTAAACATCTCATAACCAAAGCCAGCGATTTGAATTTCATATAAACATACACACACACGCACACTCGCATGCATTTACGCAGGCACTCACGCATTCACGCACGCACGCATGAACATACGTACGCAAGCGTGTACACACGTACGCACGCACACACATACGCATGCACGTACGC